GAAGAAACAATGACTTTTCATATTCTCTCTCAAAAATGCTTGATAAAAATCAAATTGTATTATATTATATTTATTTAATTAAATTATTTTCAATAAACCACCAAGGCGAAGGAACGCTGTTCGGTGCAGTTATTATTATTATTATTTCAATTATAGATGCCACAGCAATTGTTTGAAAAAATTGCCATTTTTGGCCATATTTTCGCTATCGAAGGCCATATCTCGAAAACAAGAATTTTCTCGGATATGAGCTATGCGGCATTTTATAACTTACACTTAGGCCTAAAATCGGTGAAATTTTTTAGACCGAAATTGGCATCATTCGATAGCTCACTTCAAGACCTTTCCATCGATATGCATATGTCCGGGATGTGTCACATGCAGGCAACTCAGTGACCGTAGGGACAAAAGTATAAAAGTGACTTTTGGAGTCCGGCCACGGCCAACTTGGCGGCCAAATCTAAAAATGCCAGAACAAAATAAAGAGTCTTACAGGAGTAAGACGAACTTTTCCGCACGGTGGTAGATGCGTATTTTATTAAGCTAGTTCAAAATAATATTTTTTCTATTTTTTAAGCCTTTCAAGCGGCGTAAAGTTCGAGACAAAAAAATATGTTCGGCATCGAAATATTCTTTAATTTAATAGCAGAAGTACTCGCAAAAGATTTTTCACACTTTCATGATGAACCCATTTGTATGACATTTGAAAGTATTCTATTTTCTAACAAAACGCTAGAAAAAATATATCAGACGTTAATTTTGCCATAAAAATTATTTTTGAAACACTTTTCATAAAAAAGTCAGAAATTTTTTGTATGGAAACCTGACGTTTATTTTGCCATAAAAATTATTTTTGAAACACTTTTCATAAAAAAGTCCGAGAATTTTTGTATGGAAACCATCCCTGTATAGTATCGTAAGGATGTGAAACTTTGCACAGATTATTTTTTTCACAAAAAAATAACATTCGGAGAAATTTCAACGAAAATTAAGGGTACCTTCCACACAAAATATTCGTTTTTAAGCCAAAAACTAAAAATTTTGTATGGGAGGTACCCCTAATTTTGATTGAAATTTTTTCAAAAAATAGTCTGTGCAAAGTTTTACGTCATTAGGGTAGCATACAGGCATGGCTCCCAAAAAAATTGCTTTTTTGTAATTTTTGTAAGGAAACTGTATCAAAAATTGATTGTATATTAAAACTACCTCGGATTCGGTTTTCTCGTGTCAAAAAACCCTCAATACATATTTTTGAGTGTTTAAGTCTACATTAAGTATGACTTTTGGACGAAAATTGGACTCTCAAAAACGAATATTTTGTATGAGATATACCCTTAATTTTGCCTGAAATTTCTTCAAACCCTCCGAATGTTATTTTTTTGTGAAAAAAAATAACCTGTGCAAAGTTTCACGCCATTAAGGTAGCATACAGACATGGCTCTCATACAAAAATCCAAATTTTTTGTGACTTTAGTTATGAAAAGTGTTTCAAAAATAATTTTTTTGGCAAAATTAACTTCAGACATATTTTTTTATAGTGTTTTGTTAGAAAATAGAATACTTTTAAATGTCGTACAAATGGTTCATCATGAAAGTGTGAAAAATCTTTTGCGAGTACTTCTGCTATTAAATTAAAGAATATTTCGATGCCAAGGTTTGAACATATTTTTTTGAATGGCTTGAAAAATCGAACAAATATTATTTTGAACTAGCTTACTAAAATACTCCAATAAGACTCTTTATTTTCCTTTAACACTAACCAAAATTAAATAAAAATATGAAACTTACGCACTGTATTCTTCTTTTCCATTATATGCATTGCTCCATAATTAGACACCAGATGAGAAAACATCATCGCATCCGATAGATATGTCGACAGAATTAATGTTAGCTGTAACAGTTGTACTAGCTCCATTTAACGTACTGAAACAACCACACCCAAAGGTTCTTTTGGAAAGCGCAATAACACGCCTCCCTGATATTTTAAGGTATGTGTAAACGAACACATGTTTATTTATCCGTACCGTATGACGAATATATAAAAAGGAAAATAAATAACAATCTCAAACCCACACATCGACAAGATATCTTTGTGCGCATACTCCGCTATGATGCAAATGTGTGTTCGTATTGTCGTTCACTCTAAATTTTTTTCAGATTTCACTGTACTGAAGAGTTTGCATATTTTATTTATGTTGAGCCATTCGGCTGGATTTGTTTATGCCAAACAGAGACAAAAATATCATCATGTGATCAGTTCTACATAAATACGGTTGAATGCCATGTCTCAACATGCATTGTTAATGAGTTGCGTAGAATAAAAGAATAAGAGAAAAAAATGAGCTGTAAAACATAAAGACGAAGGTGTTGAACGAATACTCGTATTTCGTTTGATGATGTTTTTTTCGTACATCTTTGGAATCCTATATAATGGTGATATTGGTGGCGAACACACATACACATACAAACCACTATATGAACATTGCCGCAAATGTTGTTTTAGAAAACAAAACAAAATCCATGATTGACTTTTAAAGCCTAATTTAAAAATAACATAGTCAAAATTGGACGAAAGCAAAGCGTCCATAGGTGCAGGAAAATGAAAAAAACGAAAATCAATCCTTCTTAAAAACAAAAATTCACGCTTTTTTGGGCGATAGCAAAATGTGTTTGCTTTGCGCCCACAATAGTAAATAGTTTCGATGTGTATTTTATTTACCAACGTCAGACTGAAACAGACTAGAAACACAACAGTTTTGAATTCTTTTGCAAGTTTATTCTAATGCTGTATAAAAAACAAAATCAATTCATACAGCAGTCCGTAATTATTGCATTGGCTTTTGTTGCTGCATCCAAAAAATCGTCGAGTACATTAGGGTGTTTCCCATATCTGTAAATAGAAAAATGGTATTTATTAATTCAAAGTAGGCAAAATTTTATGGTAGTTAATGGCATTTATACAACGAAGCGATTGATGGTAGCACTTCCCGAAGCGAAAAACAATTGTCACGTCTGAATATATAAATGCAATCGAATAATGAAAAATACTCACAGAAAAACAGAGCCTTGATAGTACTTCCTCGAAATGCTGAGACACAACAGTCAGTCTCAGTTAGTGTAACAAAATTACAATATTAATTTTTAATTAATTTTCGAGTTAAAATAGTGATTGGTTATGCTTAAGGCTGTTGATTATTTTGAACTGCTTGTTGTCGACGTGGTCTCTGCAATGTTAGCGGGATATCCAGTCCAAACAGGTTACAATGTCCTATAAAAAAATACAAATGTCATTTAACACAGACATAACACATCTATAATATGCAAATGTCCATTTCTTATATACATACCTTTGATGAGAATGCATTTGGCGGCCACGATATCACGATCCCAAGTTGTCTGATGCACAATCATTGGTTGTTGCTTGTCATCGATTTCCGTCACACATTCATCATCGACTGCACACGGTTGTTGAGCGACCTCTCCATCGATTTCCGCTGCATTTTCATCATCAACTGCATGTGGTTGTTGATCGACTTTGACGTCAGCATATTCCAATACACCACTCACTGCGTTTACTTGCCATTTTTTTGGATACACGGCCACCTTAGACAGTAAACGATCAGCTATAATGTCGAAATCATGCTCAGTCATTTCACCTCGAGCCAGAAATACCGCCAAACTCTCTTCAATATAAACTTTGTTATACTTTAAACGCCGTTTGCTGAACTGTGCCACGATTTTCGATGGTAAAAAGTTAGCAATGATTGAATTTGGCACCGGTGCACAATTTTCACAAACTTTGAAACGGTTGCTTTTGGTGTTTGGATCGAATCGTCCGCCACATTTTGCGCATGTCTGTGATGTAAAATACTCATCGACTTTGCGCACGACACAATTGCCACGTTTTCGAAAACCTTTCAAAAGTTTGCGTGTACCGGGACAGCGCACATGCTTCTTAATGCGTATTGGCGAATTTGGTGACATGTCGGCGTTGCCCAAATGAATCAAAGCTGCTTGATGATTAACCAAAGTGCCGCAAAGTTTATCTATAGTACTATTGGACTCAACATACTTGTCAAACTTCAAGCACGCATATTTTGGTGTAGTGTACACGTCCATTCCTTTCTTGAGCATTTTTATCCGATGGCAAATGTAATCAGTCCAAAGTGTACCAAGCGGTGATGGCATTCGCTGGTACAGCTGTCGATTGTTTCGATCATTTTGCTCATCCAAAGTGAACTGCTTCGTCCAGCGCTTGGCCTTTTTGTCGCGCATTTTATATTTCGTGAGCCAATGGTACTTTTTACTAGATGTTTTTAAGTTGACCTGAAATTAAAATTAAAAAAAAATCAATTGAAAATTTTGTTTGTTTGCTTCGTTCACGTAACATATAACTCTCGATTTTTTAACAATGCTAAAGAAAAAATAAATACTTACTTCTTTGCGAGTACTGATGGTTCTTCGGACAGTCGCATTCCATGTCTTCATACCCGGATCGATTCCCAGTTCATAAACAAACGTTCCATCCAAGTATCGCTTTCTCACAATGTCATCATCCAGCAACCGTTGAAGATGTTGTTTTGACAATTTATACAATACCGATACTGATTCACCGTTGCTAACAATAGTATAATGAAACTCTTTGTTTTTCTTCAATATTCGATTGATTTTGTCAAAATCGAATATTTGGTTCCAGAAGTGTTCTTTGTTTTCGCGAATGAATGTTTCGGTAACTTGTTTACCTTCGACTTTTGGAAGGAGTTTCTCTTCTGCCAACATTCTGTAGAAAACATCATTGCACATGAACACTGCCTTTCGCTGATAATCTGGCAATGGAACAACAGACAGATTTTTGATCTTCGGTATTGTGACGTTGTTGTCTTGCGCCCAATTGTGAAACTCATCGATTTCGCTTTGCATGACAAGCCACATTGCAGTTGCTTTGAACCAGTATTTGCCTTTTGAGAACTGCTTGATGTTGTCATAATTCGCTAGTCCACCAACCTCTTCCACAATTGCACGAACCATGTCAAGCAGCAACTTTCTTTTGTATCGTTTAAGAGGTGCATTCTGATGTGTGTCTCGAATGGCATCATAGCGTCGAATCGCCCAATCAATTGCATTGTCAACATCCTTTTTATCGAACCTCAAACCGGTTGACACTGCATTAAACTGCCAAGCTCTCATTTGCAAATAATTTCGCAGCCGCTTCTTTGCATGTGTCGTTTGATTCGTTTTCAATTGGCGCGTATAACTTTGGCATAAAGATTTCATGATGTTGCCGAAATAATTGTTGTTTGGCCAGGCAAATTGATTGTCTCGGCTCAGTCCTTGCTCAACAAAATGACGAATGTGTGGTTCCATGTCCTCGTTTTCTTTGTTCTTTTGCAAAACTGCATAGAAGCAGCGCTCAATCACATCTTCGGCACGATTTTTTTCAACCAATTTTCCTTTTTGGTTAACATACATTCTATTCGTGAAAAAGTCCCATTGGCGATTGTTTTGCGCGGACTTCACTTTGTCAAGGAACAGCAATGAGGCCAAAACGCTGATCTTTGTTGACATGACACTTTTCTTTTCGATCCAATGTATGACAACATCATGGTACTCCGGCCGAACAATTGTTGTGAGGCGCATTTTTATCGCTAATAAGCCATTGTCATTGAAGTTTTCGTCCTCGGCCTCCTCCTCTTGTTGCTTTTTTGTTTGATATTTATATCGTTTCTTTTTCGCCTGTGCAGCCGATGTTTCACCAGTTGTCGACATGTTGAACTGCAACGAAATAGAAAAAAACACGCACAATTTACTATAAAAACACTGATAAAATCACACATATGTATTTTGCACTGTGCAATTTGTAAATGAATCAATAGAAAGCACATAAAACGGAGATAGAATTAACACTTGATCTTACCTGATTGATGGACACGACTGAAGTGATATTCAAAATCGAAAAAGAACTCTCTCGAATGCACATCACACTAACACAGTCCAAAGTTGTATCGAAATATTTGCAGTTTCAGCTTGAGAACGTTTTGTTGATATCAAAACAAAACAAAATCGAACACAAGTTTCACTGAAAATATCTCTCTTGCAAGTTATCGATTGACAATGATCCGAATGTTGAATCTGTTGTATTCATAAAAAAACCATCAACAGAGTGAAATTAACTCCTTCGAAAGCATAAAACAAATACAAAATACGCCGACACATTCAAATTATATGTTTTAGCACTTTAACAATCGAATGCATAGAAATTATGCAAGGAATGCAAATTCAAATAAAAAAAAACAATGATTCTTAAAAGTTTCACCACGTTTAAAATGTGACAGATCATTCGACTAACACACAACTCACACTGCATTCCGATGTAAAAAAATATTCCTATACTGTAAACACACACATTTTTTGTTTATAAACCGTTTGAATAAGGAAATTGTGTGTGTGCTGAACTAATGAACGGACTCACAGTTTGTGTATGTGTAAACACTAACAAGCAAACGAAACGGCATGATTATTAGCCTGTCGCGATGGATATACTCAAATCTGTATGGACTGCTGTGTGTTAATGTGTTGTATGGACTGCTTGTGTGTTAATGTTGATTCAAATCATATACCGACTTCACTGGCCAAAAATTGCTTACACAGAGTTTTGTTGTACGATTGTGAAAATGCGTCAAAATCGTCGAGTACATACACATTTGTGGAAATTTAAAAGAAAAAACAACTTGGGAAATCAACTCTTTTCAGTCTTTTTTGACTGAACTTAAGTACTGATGGTAAACATCTGGTTATGACTTCAACTATTTGCTGTTTTCTTCCATGTCAAAATATTTCAATCACAACTTGTGTGGTAGACCTTTTTTTTATAAGAGACAAACAGAATATGCTTTATAGGAATATTTTGTAGTATTATTTTCTTAATTTTGAACGTGGCTTCGATTGTGACATCAACCATATTGGGAAATCAATCTAAAAAAACAGACATAAATGTCATGTGCACTTTTTGAAGGCCTGAAGGCAAAAAAAGTTCATTCTATTTCGTTATTGTGTGATTGAAATGTTTTTTTTTATAGGGAACGGAAAAAAGGTTGAATAAAAAAAAATGTTAGAACAAAAATTAAACCGAATGAATCATGGATGGCTATAGCCATATGGATCACATCAAACTGAGTAAAATTTCGCTTTCCATATTATTTGCTTTATTCTTTTGCCGTTCCTATTTTCATAATTGTTATGCCAAAACTTGCCAAAAATTTCGATTGATTGGCATAGTTCCGATCTCTAAATAAATTATAAATTGTGTGAAATATGTTTTCTACGATGTTTTTTTTGAAGCGAGAGTAGTTTCGTTAAAACATGACGTGAGCTCAGATTTTTTTTTTGTGGGATTTTTTTTTTTTGCTTGAATTGAGAACTTCGATGTAATTTTGCTAAAATACAAATTTGTTGTTTGAAAAATGGAATTTTACATAGTGGAACTTGTACTGCGGCAGAACAAACAGGACAATATACAGATTGAAAGAATATGTCAAAATATCTGTTGAGCTGTCAATCAAATCAGCAAGTACAAAGCGATGCAATGATAACTGAAAATTGAAACGAGCAAAAAGAAAGGAACTATGAATATTCATGTATACTTTAAGCGGACATGCTTGAAATTTGAATGGTAGAACGCGTCCTGTCGAAAAATCATGTATAAATAAATTGAATGAATTTTAAAATGCAATCGGGTATTGAGAGACACCTCTTACATCTGCTCAATTTCGCTTTCAGCAAATATGCATAAGATATTCAAATGTTCAGCCCCGAAATGAACAGCGCTACATAACCTTTCTTTAAGTCCACAATAGTGTAACACTTTTTTCCCCGATATCAGTCATTCGGCTCGCCTCGACTCGGGTCGCTACATTACCGTTTACCATAAAACCATAAAAAAGGGTGATGAATACTATATTTTTTTTAAACTTGAATCTGCTTTGATTTTCATATTCCTTTTATATTTATAAACCCATAAATAATGGGCACATTTGAATGAATAAAAAAACATTCTCTACACATCTCTTTTATTGAAATAGTTTAAACTCCTCGACTGCATCCCGTAATAAATATCTGAAATAATAATAAAGACTGGCAAATAATGGATACAATATATTTATATTAAATTAATATATCGTCGTATGAATTAGCGGCAATGGAATGGTTATTATTGTTAAATAACAACTATAGGATTGTTCATATGTTTATGTCGCACACACGTCACTCGTTCATTTTACAAGACCAAATACAATACATATGTCCTTAATGAACTCTACAATTCGGTTTGTGAATATTGTTCATTGCTTTTTATTGAATTGAGCTTCATTGATTTTTCTTCATATGCATGAATATTGATCGGATATGAAATCATTATAATGAACGCATCCATTAAACGTGAAAGAAAAAAAAATTAAAAATGTCGTTTCTATGTGACGATTAAAAGATTAAATGAGAATATTGAAACTATGTCAAAAAATTCTGCGTGCTTTTTCGATGAACTTCACTAATAAATAAATAAATAAATGGTCATCGTCATATATTTGTAACTAAATTCAGTTATATAGTGCATTTTCTTTACCGCATCTCTTTTTTTACCAATAAAAACTTAAAGTGGTAGAGACTGTTCAGCATAGCTGTCCACGAACATCAACGGACACGTGCGTTCGTTCGTAAATAATGGATGTGTATAATTTAAAAAAAATCTGTTACGT